TTACTGCTTAACTTTAAAGTGAATATTATATTTCAATAATATCCAATAGGTAGGATCTTATATATTTCACTCTAATGTTTTGACAGACTTAAACAAGACCTATCGCATATAAATAATAATGACATTTTCAATTAAATCGAAGTYAATAAAGATTATAATTATAATACGTAATATTATTATCGTATAGTGTGATGGCAAATGCGCTGATTAGTGTTTTATAGGCACGTGTCCRGCGTCTGATACAATTATATTTGGCTAATTGATCCGGCCAATATAATATTGTTTACCCTTCAGAATATATAATAATAATATATTGTMTAAACATAAAAATAAATTAACGATGTTTTTATTGATTTGCAGGTGTTTGATCGACAATGATAAGCGGTGTGCTGTTGATGGTGGCTGTGATATCAGGCATAGTGTGCGGCGAAACGCCGAGACCGTCGGGCGCTAGAGCCGCGTTCAAGGACGCCGGCCAGGCGGAGAGGCACTTGCTGGCTGCGCTGGGCATGAAGCGTCGACCGGTGGTGGACAAGTCTAAAGTGGAGATACCAGCCGCCATGCTGGAGCTTTATAGGATGCAAATGTCGTACGAATTCGACACCACGGCCTTACCGTTGCCGGGACACCATGTCAAGTCCGCGAATACYGCCCGAACGTACTTACATAGAGGTAAGTTCGATTTTAACGTATAAACATACCGTAATATAATATATACCTACCCACGTTATACTGCAGTGTACTTAACTAATACACGCCATTACCATTTAGATAGGTATAGTTACGCCTAATATATTCTATGCAACAGCTTCGATATGATTCCTAGAACATATAATATGGTAATTGGTAATAAAATATAATAATAAATATTATAATATTATGATACAATGTTATGCGCAACCCGTATTTGCATTAGATATTTGATTTCTCGTCAAATAAGACTGAAAACCATAAACTTTATTTCATTAAATTCACCAATTATATATTCCAGCCTTTAAAATTAAAACTGAAAATCGTACTAACTACAAACTGATCAGAAAAAAAACCCGTTATTAACACATTCTATTTGGCTCAACATTCTATTAAAATGCATAAAATGTGTAGGTACATTAGCTAATTATAGTTGGTAGAAAAGGATATGCTGTATTTTAGTTGACATGTTTCAGTAGCTTGTTTTTTAAACTTTTCGAAGAGTGATCAGGGTAACAGTCAGTTTATTTTTAGGTGATCTATTWTTAAKATGAACCAAAATAAAGAATTATATTTCATATGATCGAAAATTCCGAGTATTTCAATCGATTTAAAAATATATTTCATCTGTTATTTTTCTCTTTATACATTTTAGGTTTTTTAATAAACCAGTTTAACTTTTAAATTTAAATGTTTGGTTTATTCGTTATAATTTACATTTGAATTGGAGATTCTTCCAATTTAAACACGAATTAATATAAGAAAATAATAAGCAACTATTTTACTAAGCATCAGCTAAAAAAAAAACACTTTTACAGTTATACATACCTATTTAAAAATATTGAATTTTACTCTATGATCAGATCAGCTATTGTATTATGTAACCCTTATTTGATTTGAAAGTGCYTAGAACAATAAAATGCGTGTATTATAATATTTATCTATTAASTATTGAATAATTAAACAATTATTAAAGTAAATCGTATCGAAATGTATCATGGATGAAATATCAAATAAGATACTAAAAAATTTAACTTTGAATTATTATAATAAATTATATAAAAAAGATAAAATTGTTCGAAAATTATTACTTTTCTATGGAACATCGTTTCGTTCTCATATATGCCATTAATCGAATTGAAACAATAGTACGCTATAGAGAGTTAAGCAATAGGTTAATAACTTTCTTCGCTTATTCTGGGAAATAACATTTGAATTACA